GCTGACGCCAGACAGCATACCCTGCAGCTGGGAGCTGGCTGAGGCCCAGTTTGTACAAACGATGCCACTGCTGTTTCTTGGCTCACTGATTGGAAAGATGCTGCATTCTTCTTTCAGTGTATACCACAGATTTTGCTATTCCATGAAGTTAGCTGTATATTATACCTATTTTTTTCCTCTCTGACTGTTAATTGGGTTGGATTTCAATAAAAGATCATTTCTAGACTGCAAAAAGTAGAAAATTATCTGTCTTGTCATTGACAAATGTGTTTCTTTATATAGCTGACTTTGGTTTTGCTCGTTATCTGCATAGCAACATGATGGCTGCAACTCTGTGTGGTTCCCCTATGTATATGGTAAGTAACTATTTCTTCAGGTCATGTTGCTTGTGTCAAGCATTCTGTTCCCAGAATGAAATAACCTGCTGTTTGCAGATGGGCAAATGCCTGTTGTTGCTTCAAGAGTGATGTGCAATTCATCTTTCCAGAGTCTGACAAGCATCTGTGGTCTTGTGATTTGGAGATCACAGTTGTTAAGGAATGAGACACAAATTGAGATGTTCCTTACCACTGCAGGGAAGAAAAATCTTTGCAAATTAAAAAGTGGTACATCTCAGCATCAATTTCTTGGCTCAAAGTAATGAATTCCCCTATATGAGTTTTTTTTTTCCTGCAGTGGGCTCTGGCACTTTCCCACTTTTTTTGAGAAGTGGAAGATGATAAATATAAACTAGATTATCTTTACACCAGTACTAGAAAATGAGCTGATGCTTTCATTCCGGTTATTTAATGTATTCTCTCACACATGAGTGTTTTTTGTTCGTGCTTTTTAAACAATTTGGAGTTAATCACCTGTGATTTTTGAGCTGTTTGTGGCAGTGCCACTAGACAACTGTATGGTCATGGGAAAGTTATTTCTTTCCCATGACTTGGTGTTCTTATCTGTAAAATGGTGATTATGACTTTGTGAAGTGCTTGGTTATTTGCCCGCAAATCAGACTACATGAACCAAATAACTTACCTGTTATTTCCATATGTGCAGATTGTTAACTTGTTTCTTTATAACAACGTTTCTAGCTTGTGCTTTTAAAGCAGAACTTTAATTTTAGATAGTATAATATAATTGTTACCTCTCAATTCATGTAATAATGCAGACTAAAATGTTGCTTTTGCCTGGGAGTATTTATTCTTTCAACAAATTGATCTCTTAACACTGCTCTGAGATTGATGTGGCAGACAAACTGTGTAATTTGTACTTCTCTGGCTTTGTATTTTCTTTTGTTTTGCCTTCTAAGATTCTCCTGTACTTTTCAGGCCCCTGAAGTGATTATGTCTCAACACTATGATGCTAAAGCAGACCTGTGGAGCATAGGAACTGTGATTTATCAATGTCTTGTTGGAAAACCACCTTTTCAGGTAACACTTTATTTCTTCTCTTCTCTTTGCTTTGGTGTTTATACTGTCGTGGAAATTCCTGGAGTGTTTCCCTCTAGTGATGAAAGCAGAAGTGTAAGGAGTGATGTCCTGAGTGTAGTGTCAGTGCATCAAAGGCCAGGTGGCTTGAGGATACCAAAGCAGAAATTGCTCAAAATTAAGTCTTTGTAGATCAGTGTTTTCGGTCCTGGACAGATGTTTAAGGAAACTCAGAACTGAAGCTACTGCATTGCGTGGATTTTCTCCTTAGTGCCTATATGCAAAAACCTCTTTGTGTGTGTGTAGATGAGTGCTATTTTCTCCCTTGAATTGAGCTTTAATTAACGTATGTTTTTATTCGACAGGCCAATAGTCCTCAAGACTTGAGAATGTTCTATGAAAAGAACAGAAGTTTGATTCCTAGGTATGTCACCATGACCTTTTCTTCACTTATTTGTTGGCTGAACACCTTCATCTTTGGGAACGCCTGGAATTGATAAAAAAAATGCTTGATGTTACTGGCTTGACATGGCAGATTATGTCTGTGGCTCATGTTGCATTTTATCTTTGTACCTTGCTGACTTTAAAGTGTCTTAAGGCCATTGAGCGTGTGCAGTGAACACTTAAAGACGTGGCAGAACGATGATTTCCGGGGTAATTAACAGAAATGTGTTTTCTTCCTTCTCTATGCAGTATTCCTAGGGAAACATCGGCTTATCTGGCTGACCTGCTGTTGGGTTTGCTTCAGAGAAACCAAAAAGATAGGATGGACTTTGGTACGTAACTTTCTTTTGTTCTCTTAATTTCTATTGCTTGTTTGTGTAGACAGAATAACTGCCTTGACTTTGTGTCCAGCCAATTCCACCAAGCCCAAACCTTTTCTTTTTATCTCTGTTGTCATGAAGGAGATGGAATAGCTCCCCAACACTGCCTCCCCCTTTAAAAAAAAAAAACAAACAAAAACAAACAAACAAAAAAAAAAACAAAGTTGAGTAACTGCTGTCAGTCAGTGGTAAGTGGTATATGCAAAGCATCACTTTGATTGTGGTTTTAACTGTGAAACGTAGATGAGTTTAATTCTAAGTGCAGTTTTTTTTTTTTTCTCTCTCCTAGTCTTTGTTCACAGATAGAAGTGGTGGTAACTGAATGCTAAGGAGAGTGGATAGTTTGCTTTTAAATTTTCTGCTTCCTTCAGGGTTGCATTCAAGCCCAAAGCATTTGATGTGGATCACCTCCTTGATCATAAAGTGCAAATGTCCCATGTGCAATTCTCTGTTTCCAAGAAACAACATTTTTGTAACTGCAGTGTGCTTGTAAGCATTTAAAAGTTAATGATTAAAAATGTTAGAAACAGTCTTGACGTTAGGGGATCATGCACTATTTATAGCGTTTCTCTTCTGATACCTGCGTGTCTGTAACTGCTGGGAAGTGTCTTCGACTAAACCATTGTCTGCAAGCTGAGGCTTTATCTCTGACAAGCAGATGTAGGGTAGCAATTTGCACTAGGACTAAGGAAAAAGATTTTTCCTGTCTGGCTCTTTTCCAGTGGCTGCAACTGCCTGCATTATAATATACCTTAAATTTCGTATCGCAGTCATTTCTGTTGTGCTTATTGCTCTTTCCTAACTGCTTGAAAAGGTTACTGATCCCAAAGTCAGTTTGGTTGCAGAAATTGAATGAAAAATAATGAAAGACCCCTGTTTTAGGAAACTGCTTTACATTTTTTACTCCTTCTTACTTGAAGACTGCAAGTATCTTAAGTGTTTTAATGGTGATAGAGATCGAAACTATACATGTACACAGAGCAATTAAATGAGGTAACAGCTAAACTGCTCATATTTGCTAGTGTGAATTCCTACTGTTGTGCTTAGAAATTGCTAGCTTTAGACTTCTGTGTTTCAGTGAAATATCTGCAGATATTTGGCTTTTAACCAAAAAGCAGTGGAAACAGCAATTGTACCTTGATAATTGTGCGAGTTCTAAAATTTTAAAAAGGCCAGAAAGCAGCTAATTTTGATGGCTGTGGAAAATGCTTTTCCTTTTCAGGAAAAGGTATGGCACCTGCAAAGCAGAATTCTTTGATTGCTTTCCACAAATACTTCCTGTCCAGTCTGGGCAGAGATCTCTGAGCCCTGTGTCTGGGTCACTTGAATTCTACATAACTTGCTGATTCTGTGATGTGGATGTTTGGTTACCTCACTTAAAAGTGGAAATGAGGCAGCCTTATTTCACACAGACCAGTGGAAACAGGCCAAACCAGCCAAACTGTTGCCTTGTTTTTTCAGTCATTCCTGGCACAGGTGTATGCTGATACAGAGAACGAGCAGTGAGAGACTCTGTAGGGTTGGATGGAGGAGCTGGGACCTGCATTTTCCCCATCTTAGATTTTGAAGCGAACCTTGGAAGAACAGAGCATATGGATAGGATATTAAACGGGAGATTAGCTACAGAGGAAACCTGGCCTGCAACTTGGTCAGCATCTTTACTGCTTCTTGACTGAAGTTAGCAGAATATCAAGTTAGTGCAAAGCCTGTTTAGGGCTGCGCTTGGATTAGCTGGGAAAGCCAAGCCTAGTGCATACTAGGTTGGCAGTCCCTTAACAAAAGTGAGGTTGTTTGGCCACAGTTTACTGCTGTGTTTGACGTTTCCTGTTTAGCTGGAGATCTTTGGTTGCAGAACACTATGTTCGAGCCTCTTAAGATTTCAAGGCCATCAGATCAGTAGCATTGACTCATTCAGAAGAGCTAGAACTGTTCCCTCTTCAAAAGTAGTCGAGTAGAGTGCAGGTTTGTGTGTGCTTTGTACTCACTGGATGGTCTGTTACTTGGGTCCTGCAGAGTTTTTGTTGCTGTTTTTGTTAGCTATTCTTGCTAATGCAATCATTTGTTAACGTGAACCAAGGCAGCATTTTAGAAGGTAACTGAAAAGTTTTATCTTGGTCAGTTCTTTGTACTTGCATCTGTAGGTCGTGTTATTCATGGTGGTTAAGGTAGTACTTACGAAACTGCCTCATTGCTGTTTAGTTATTCATGCAAGCCAGGGTTTGATGCAGTGCTGAAATACGTAATTGGTCTCATCACGTGTGGTTCCTGTGTGCCTGTGATAAGAAAATAACTGCATATTTGTTAGGTTGTGGAGAGAAGATTCAAAGATTTTTTTGGTTCTTTACTACATGCTTAAATCTTTCCAGTTTGCTTTTTCCTTTTCAATTGCTGCTATGTTTATTTCTCAAGAAATATCAATCAATTTTTAGGGGGATAATTCAAAACAGCGGTAGCAGCATAATGGAAGGTATTGCTCTTCAGAAAACCAGGCGTACTTTTTTGAACGTGGACATGCCTGAAATCAACTGTTTTGGTTGTCCTCCTAACTAACTTCAACAGAAATCAGATCCAGAAGAAACTCGAGATTATAATTTCGCATGTGGCATTGACAGTGTTCGGACGTTGATTTGTAAATTTGTGTGTGGAGAAGAATTGATAGGTCACGCATGGATGCTGAGTAACCATTTCCACCTTGTGCTCTGTGTGTGCTGATCCCGACGGTTTCTCCAACAGGGGAAACTGGCCGTGTCCTTTACGGTAGTGGAGGGCTGTGTTTGTGCTTAGAAAGAAAAATACAAAGCAGAGTGGTGGTGGTGGTGATGAAAGTCGTGTTTCCCTTGGCCGAGCTGCCGAAGGGCCTCACAGGGGCTGCTCTGGAATGTGCTTAGCCAAGGGAGTGAAAGGGAGAGTGGAGAACCGAGCACAGTTGCTTGTTGTTAAAGTAAAAATAGCATTGGAAATCTTGCTGATCTCACAGCAATACAGACTAGAACAGCAGGTGTTGTACGAAAGCTCCAGAACACCTGGTCCTTGTATCAAAGTTAATCATTATATTGCTCATACCTTAGAGATAGCCTCCCTTCCTTATCAGGTCATTGAAGAAAGTTGTTGAAGGAAGAGGGACAGCAGGCCTCAGCATGCTTCTTTTTTTTATCTTGTCATTTGCTTAGGTCCAGTGAACAGCATTGTTTTTCCTTAGCTGCCAGAACGTTGCAGTGCACAGAGATCTGCAGCCAGCTTCCTCCATCCCTCAGCTCGTCCTGGCCTGCTGGAGGCCTCCTCTTGTAGAACAAAACCTGCCATGCAAACCATTAGCCAACTGGATGCACTAAGTCAATTAAGTGCATCTCAGTGTATTTGGTTACAAACAAAAGCAAATGCTTGTTGAAACAGTAACAAGTTAACTGACCAAACTGTTAAAGAAAAAATTATGTAGTTCTGCTCTAAACGGTGAAGCAGCTGCCTAGGCAGTGTGTTTTGCTGTTGGGAATGGGGGTGGAGAATTGCTGCTGTTCTGTTTGAATCTTTGGCTGCCTAAAGAGCAGCATGAACAGATTCCAAAATAAATTAGCATCAATCCTTGGGAAAGATGCTGGCAGTGTCGAAGTGGAAATACTTAGTGTTCGAAGTGAAAGATACCCATGATTTTGAAAAGCAAATTAAAACGGAACTGAGCCATATTGAATATAGAGAACCTAATTTCACGATGGCCAGAAGAAGGCTTCTGCTGTACATGATGCTCATGAAGTGCCCCTTAATCCAGTCTGGGTTGCCTTGCGGGTTCTTGCTCTGAAGTTATTCAGTTCATAGTGTTTCCTTTCCAAGTGCCATTGCAACATATAGAGTCTTTAGTCTTTTGTCAGCCTTCACCCTCTGGCTATGAAATGCTGATTCAGGAAAAGCAGTGATTCATCATCTGCCATCTAGGCTTCAAGTTCTGTGTCCTGTGTTAACTCACCTTACCTATTGTTTCTCCTTCTACAGAAGCATTTTTCAACCACCCTTTCCTGGATCAGGTTTCAACAGTCAAAAAGTGTGAGTAGTTTTGTAGCTTTGTGTTTCTACTTATTTATGTAAATGGTAAATGTGGGGAGGAGGGGAAACCTGCCTAATATCCCAGTGAGTGTTTCTCAGACATTTTCCTGAGTTTGACTGTTATACTCCGTTGCAAGCCTAAAAGAGTTGAATCCTTCTGTTTTATGGTGTACTGAATTATGATACTAACTAACAGCTTCCTGTGACTTTTAAACTAAATACCTTCATATATTTAAGAATGTGCTGTGTTTATAAGCTTTGTAAGAGGTTATGCAAGTAAATCAGTGGGGAGATAAATATTTTCTCCTGGATTTTCCTCTTCTAGCTTGTCCTGTACCAGTGCCCACATACACAGGCTCAGTCTCCGGCAGTTCCTGTGGTAGTTCTCCGTGTCGTTTTGCTTCTCCTCCAGTAAGTCCTCTGTTTTTCAGAATAGTCTCTTCAAAATTACTTTTTTGTAGTGTTAGGCAAGAGTTACTGAATTTTTGATCTTTCAGTTCTTGGACAGTGTAATAAACTGTCATGTTAAAGAGTGCAAAGCAAGGAAGGGTCTTCTGGTAGAACACTTTGGTCTTCTCTGCTCCTTCTGTTGTGCTTTGTGTGTGGCTGGTGTGCGTGTATTTCTGTTCTTTTTAAGTGTTTATTTGGTTTAAAAAAAAATCAAATATTAGCAGGTTTGTTACTAATGTGACTTGCAACATAATGCGTGTTCCACATAATTCTTGAATTGACATTTGCAGTTAAGGTCCCTTATTCTGATGTGAACTGTTGGCTTTCATTTTATGTGGTTTTTAGAAGTGATGCAGCTGAATCCTCAGAGTGATTGATTAAACAGCAGTCAATTAAATATACTGCCAAATTAATATACAGCTGTCTAAATGGACATTACAGGATTATTTGGTATTTGTGATCTCTGAATTCAGATGCAGCTTATCTTTTAAAGACTTAAGAAATCCAAAACTAGCCTAAAATGTGTTTGGAAGGTTTATGTATAGCTGTATATAACTACATATATAGCAACATATACTTTTATATAATTAAAGAAACAATTGTACATTCTGAAACACTGGATTTATAATATTTTGTTTTTTGTGGTGTTTTCCCCTTCCAGTCTCTGCCAGACATGCAGCATATTCAAGAGGAAAACTTGTCTTCCCCTCCGTTGGGTCCTCCTAACTATCTTCAAGTGTCTAAAGACTCTGCCAGTACCAGTAGCAAAAACTCCTCTTGTGACACAGATGACTTTGTTCTTGTCCCACACAACATCTCTTCGGATCACTCATGTAAGTGATCTGAGGAACTTTCCTTGTTTTTGCATTTTAGAGCTTCCTGCACTCATAGCCTGCCATTATGTCCTGTTACTGTTTGGCCACCTTTTCTGTAAACATATCTTAATTCACTTTGGGAATTCATTTCTTCAGCTGATTGCTCTTTGAAGAGAGGCTATCTAGTATACATGAATCTTGATGTCCCTCTGGGTTATTTTCACCTAGTGAGTGGCTAGACATGCCAATGCTGCAGGCAGAGTTCAAGAACAGCAGTCATTTGAAGAAATGAAAAACACTGGTGTTTTTGCACTTGAAAAATGAGTCTCTTGTAAACAGCCGCTGATGATAAACCCAAGGAATCTCTCAGTGGAGGCAGGCACTCTGTGACCTCTGGACTGAGCAGTCCACGCGGTAGAATGTTAAATAATAAGTAAGTGCAGGTAAAAGACAACAAATGCTTCAAGTGAAAGGTTGGGGATCAGATCTGGCTTATACAGAAGGCAGACTTTGATTTAGCACATGGCCATTTTATGGCATCTTCTAAACCTGCCTTGCTGTTATGAAGCCAGTCAGCTGGTTTCCACCCATGAGTGCCCCCAACTTGTGTATTTGACTAAATTAGAGCCTTCATTTCTGAAGTGTCTCTGCGATACTGTCACATGCTTCCTGATGCTAATACCTTGTAACCTTAAACAGTGAATTTTATTTCAAAATCCTCAGTACAGAGGGAGAAAAAAAGGACTTGTCAAAGAACTACTTTCTCTGATTATATTTTTATTGTAGGTCATATCAGAGGTATTTTCACATACGAAGCAGTTTTGTGAACATATAAATTTTTCCACAAAGCTTGTCAGTAATGGCTATTTCTATGACAGTAATGCTGGAGATGTGGGTTTTTTTTTTTAGATTTTGCTGTGATGTGGGTTTTCAATGTGTTCTTCTGCTTGCTGTAGATGATATGCCATTGGGAGCAGCTGGCAGGCGGGCCTCGAGCGAGTTCTTGATGTGTGGAGGGTAGGTGTGCGGAGCTCTCTCCCAAAGAAGGCTCGTGTTCTAAAACTGACACTGCAGATTTAGATGGGGGTGCTGGGTTTTTGGCACTAACGTGTGCACATTGCTCTGTGTGGACTTTCTTAAAGATTAATATGCCAAGCTCAATTTAATGTGACTATGGAAAGAGCTTGAATTCAGCAAATATTTTTTCTTGTGTGAAGAAGAGATTTTTGAGTGTTTCTTGTTTTCACAGGCAGTCACCATTAACTATTTCTGGAAGCTCAGGAACTGTACAGAAACCATCCTCTGCCTCATCTCGAAGTACTGCTGCTGGTACAGCTAACAGGTGTGTGATGAAGGTTCAATACTCCTCTCTTTTAAAAAGATTCCCTCTTCTTTGGATCCTTGTTGTGGATGGCTACTAGAAACTGAACTGAAATAGAAGCCAGGATATATCATTCCAGGCTTTCTCTACCAAATGTGTTATAGTGGCTAGTATTCGTGCAGCTAACTGGTGGCTTAGATGCTTTCCCAGAAGATTTCCTTAAAGCAAAGTATTCTTTTGGCTGTTTAAATTTTGAACTGATTGAAAGCGAAACTTTAGAGAGATAATTGGTCTGTCCCTTGGGTGTTATGAAATACAGTATGTTCTTTATTTAGACAGCCAAGCTGTTGAATTCAGTATATGTTTTCAGAAGTTGTGTGAGAAGAGGAACTTAGTTTCCTATGGACATGGGTCTTGTGGCTGATAATTGGGTGTGGGCCCTATAGAAGCTGTTACTGTGATTTTGGCATTTGTGTCTCTTAAAATATCAAAGAAACAACACGAGCAAGTTGGTTGTGTATTGCAGCTCTTCCATCAGCAAGGCTGTTAGTAAGGTCCCTCTCTTCCATATGGATGAGACAGTTTCTGACGTTGTGAAATAAAATCGGTATTCATCCGTGCTACCTGGGGTCTTTTACTTCCTGGAAAATATAAAGCACAGTGTTTAACTATTCATTTAATATCTAATATATTACCTAATATCTATTTTTTGATAGAGCAATGCGTATCTTACTGTTTTCAGTGCAAAATAGA